CCCCAGTCCCCCACGGTGACCCCAGTCCTCCATGGTGACCCCAGTCCCCCAGGCCACTGGAGCACCCCTCTGTCCTGGGGGTGCTGTTCAGCCACTGGCACCTGGCCAGGCCACAGCCCCATCCCTCCCAAGTCCCGCGGTCCTGCACGTAGCTCCCAAGGGTCCCAAATGCCCCGGGGCAGCTCCAGGGGGGAATGCCAGCCCCRGGACTCTAAGGCACAGCCTTCGGGGCGCTGTGCCGGGGCGGGCTGCGCCCGCTCTGGGCCAGCAGGGACTGGGGTGCCAACAATGCCTGTGGGCACACAGGCCAGGGCAGGAAACACCCACTGGAGCCGGCGGAGCGAGACTCGCAGCCGGGAGCAGCGGCAGCCCTGGCTCCCATCCCAGACCCCTCAGGCCCGGCCCCGCCGCCTGCCCGCGCTCGGCACACCTGGCACCGTGCCAGCGGTGACCCCCCTACCTGGGCAGGCGGCAGGGACCCCGCAGGGCCGGTCGGCAGCATGGGCAGGGCTCGGGGAGGCCGGTGGGAAGCGGAGTTTGTCACCCCGGCACTTCCTGCGCTGCAGCAAAACTTCCTGAGCTGGCTGAAGCGGCAGCATGGCCGGCGCCGAGCCCACGGCACAGCCTGAACGAGCCCACGGCACTGCCAGTGCCAAAACACTACCATGGCTGGCACCAAACCCCCCCAGGGCTGGCACTAAGCCCATGGCACAGCTGGCACCAAACCATCGTAGCAAGAACTGAACCCACTGCAGGGCCAGCACCGAACTGGCGTGGCCAGCACCAAAACCATGGCATGGCCAGCACCAAAACCATGGCATGGCCAGCACCGACCTAGCACAGCCAGCACCAAATTGGCACAGCTGGCATCAAACTGGCAGCCACTGCCCTCGCCATGCCCTGGCAGGCTCCTTGCCAGAGTAGGATGGAGAGTGGCTCCAGGGGATTTTGGGGACCATCTCGGTGCAGAAATGCAGTGGTGGGGCCAGTCCCTTCGGTGCCAGGATGGATGCTGTTGATCCAGAGCCCATGGAGCCCCAGGGGTGGGTGCTGCCCACCCCATGGGGTGCCAGACCCCTGACATCAGCTGCCTGAGGCCTCTCCCCGGCTCAGCATCACAGCCTGCTCCCTGCTGCATCAGCACCAGGCAGGGGGCAAAGCACAGGCATGGGGGTCATCTCCATCTCCCTCACCCCAAAAAGCCCACAGAGGCACAGGGACGGGAAGCTGGGAGGGGCAGTCCAGCCACCAGCCCCCCCATTCTCACCCTGATTACACAGGGGGTCCCATCCAGCATCATCACTCAGGACTAACCCCACCTCACCCCCAGGTGCAGGCTCTGCCTCCCCTTGGGGACCAGCTGGACACCCCAGCTCCAGCAACACGTGCCTTGGACTGCTGAAGGGTCCAGGGGTCCTGGGGAGGTTGGGTGGGAGCTCCCAGGGGGGCCACACAGCCTTGCTAACATTCCCCCACCCTGCCCCAGGTGGATGCTGGCACCCAGGGGCTCCTCTGCCCGCTCCAAACTCCGCTCCCAGACCCCACTTCACACCTGCCTGCAGGTCCGCAGCACTCGGGGGTGCACTGGGGGGGTGGGACATCAAGGGGGGGCCTGCAAGTGCTGCTGCCCCCAAACTCCAGCCTGCTCCCATGTCATCCCGCCACAGCAGCCAGCAGCAGCCTGCCCCCTGCTCCCTCCACCTTTCCCCGTGCTGTAGTTCACTGCCTTGCACCCACCACTGTGACGAGTTGCTCAGGCCTCAGCACTGCCTACGCTGCAGGCAGGGGCAAGGCAGGGGCTCTGCATTGCTGGGGGGGTACTGAACCCCAGCCCGAGCCAGGCTGGAGTGACCAGGGTAACTGGGGTGATCAGGGTGGCCACATCCAGC